AAAGATTAACCTATGGAATGATCCACGGTGAAAGGGATCACAGGGTGTGGCCCCTCCAAACCCATCCCTGCATTCTTGTCTTCCCCGCTTCTCTGCTGCCATTGGTCACCGTTCCTGTGACTTTCTCTTTCTCCGAGCGAACGTGTTACAATCAACCATCTCCTGTTCTCTTCGAGCCTTTTGTTGCTCGCTTTGCCTCTGTCCCTTCTGCCTCCATGGGAACTGAGGTTAACCATGAACAACAGGATTTCTGGCTCTGTCAGAGTTTCCTCTCAGCGACCGCTCTTATGGCACGTACAACAAAATGTTCTTTCTATGCATCTGTGAGAGCGCCCAGTCATTTTGCTAAAGACCCCTCACTGATCTGACAGCATTTGCTTCTACAAACATGCTTACGCGCCCTCCAGGCGAAATGGAGCAGCAAACATTAACCACAGCCTCGTGATAACAATCTCAATAACGGCAAAAGCTATTAAAAAACATACCGGATCTCCACTTGATGATGTCGTTGAACTCTTCATTGGCTCCTCCCTCTGCGATGTCACCGTGCGAGGCCATGGTAGCCAATGAATTCAGTGCCTTTATAGGTTGAAATTGTGCGCTACTGGGATAATTCTGGTACCAGGCCTCTTTCTGCACCTGTAAAGGAAAGAAAGCTTAAAACACACATTCACTGAGGCTCAGTTCCCACTGAAATGGCAAACCTTTAGGCCCTTCTTTAGCTCCTTTTGGCTTTAATGTGACTATAAAGCAGTGGAAATAATCTCACAGGGAGGCCTGGAGAGTGGAGGCGTCACATGCATGGGAGTTACACACACAAAAACATTCAAACATGGTCACATAGGAAGACCTGACACTTCACGAGGAACACCGCAGGTCGTTAAAACCCTAACAGCTGTTTGAGACCTCACCTCGGTGTGTGTTCCACGGGGCTGAGGAGGAAACAAACTGGTGTCACACAATGTCCTCAGGCTGACAATCGGAGCGCTGATGTATGTGTAAAACAGCTAGTAATTGATCCTGTAATAATGGACAATCATGTTGTAGACTCAGCTCAAGAACAAACTCGCCAATAATCACAGTGTTTGAGGCAGCCGCGAAGCATCGAGGAGACGTCCAATTGATCGTTGACGTGTTTCAGCGGGCTTATTTTGCATTCAGTGGTGACCGCTAACCATCATATGCAGTCAAAGTCTTGTCAAATGTCATGTTTTCTCCTAGGGTTAGGTCCTGAACGTCACGCTCAAGCAGTTTTTCCACTGTTTAAGTAGTAAGATTTCCATGAATACACATTCTCATTCTATTTAGTTGATTTTCAAGTAGTCACTTGTTCCTGGCAAGTTCGGTCCCTGACAATGATTTCACTGGGGGGGATGGCAGAGCATGGAGTGGATAAGGTCTGTCATTATGCAACCAAATGATTCTTTCATTGGATCAATTAAGTTTTTCAGGCTCAAAGGTTAACAAAAGCATAAGAGCAGCTAAACCTGGACTATGCTTTCTTAGACGGGATGAGAATTTCCTCTACGGGGTTTATGAAATACTCTATTGCACTGACGTCTCATTCAATGTCACGTGCTACTTTTCCTTGCAAATAGCACTGTTTTTCTATGTGTAAGTCATCGGTTTCACAAAGGACGTTGTCATGCGCGCTCAACTTTCAGTACCTCCAAAAATGAAACGCCATCTATCACAGTCTCCAAAACTGTTTCAACTTGCGCTCGTGAATCTGCTTCTCTTGTTATTTCTCTCAGTCTTGATGCAGCTTTTTGAGAGCTTTTATTTGTGTGTAAGGTTAACGCTTGTGCATGAGGTCTGTTTTAATTCAGGGTATCCTTTCATTACAACACTCAACCGTGTCCACTCTCAAAATAGCTTGCGTTGACCATGAAAGGAGTTTATGTGCAGTTTTTTTTTTTTTTTATCTAGCAGTGCTTGGTGAGTTACAGTTCTTGAGGGATGATGCAAGACCCAAAAATAACAACTGTAAACTGGAGGAAAAGACAGCCCCCATCTATCTTGCTGGTGTCTTTACAATTTCGGTTCCTCTCAACTGCTCAGGGGAGTAGCTTTGACAACCGAGGCAAAACAGAAGAGATACAGTCAGCCAGTTGAATCATAGGAACTATTTAAACTATAAGTGTGCATTTTAAAATGAAGCATGGCCGTAGTTGAGTACTTTGTAGTTTTTTGGTTCATTTGAATGAAAAGCAGAGTAAGGGACCAAAAACATATGAAAACTGTACGAGATTTGCTGTCTTCCTGATTAAAAAACACACAATGATAGGGCGACTAAACACATGGAAAGGGACTTCAACTCTAAATCTGTGTTGGCCTTGTGGTAGTTAATGTTTTATCTCTTAGGTATGACTGCGGTATTTGGGTTTTCTTTTTTTTTTTCTTTTTTTAATCAAGCCATAACTGCCATGTACAACCCCCAGCTGCTGAGCTGCGTGCAAGACCTCAAGTTAAAGAAGTAAAAGCATAAAAGAAACATCGTTTGAGGACTTACTTTAAACATTCAAAACAAACACAATACAAGGGTACAATGATGGTTAATGTTGCAGGTCCCAAATCACACACACTCACTTACTTTCACACACACACACACTCACCTCTGCTGTCACCAAGGAGTCAGGAGACGTGCTCCCTCAAAACAAGTCCAAAAAGCGTGTACAGTATGGGCAGACAAACACAAGTAGAAAAAATCTATGTAAAAGTTTGAAAGAAAATAAAAAATAAAGTACATAAATCCAATTGATTTAAGGCATTTTTTCCCCCCACGAGGCACTCTTCTTAACTAACGACCTAACTTAAAGGGAACCGTCCTCAAAAGCGCATCCAGTCTCCACAATGTGCCCCCTTAACACAACACAAAAAAACAAAAAGAGACGCCTTTTTGATGCAACGGAACACACAAACTACCGTAGTCTCGTAGAGCAACACGGCGGGGCTGTCTCTGGGGAAACGGAGAGATGGTTATTACATTTCACGGGTGAACGCCGCAGTACTGTGGACTCAGGTCCCACAACTTTGTTCCTGTTGCTTACTTTGACTCTTTCTCCCTGCCGCTGACGCCGACGTTAAGCTGCACGGAGTTAGCTCAACATAACGGAAATGCTACCAGAACAGGCGCTCCTTCAAAGTAAAAGGGCGTAAAAACACGGGTGAGCTCACTGGGAAGTCACATCAACGGGATAAGTGGGGTTGTTACCAGTTGGCTTTATTGATAATTGAGTAATGTAATGTTTATTTGCACTACACCGCACTACCTCACCTGTTTAAATACTTATTTATTTATCCTATTTTATTTCATCATGTAAATACCCAAGTGCCTTAATTCTTGATTGTTGATTGTTGTTTATTTTATGTCTTGTTGATTGTTTATTTATGCCTGCTAAATATATACATACTTGACAATAAAGTTGACTTGACTTGACTTGTAATCATAGGTTTTTAATGTCTGGGCTTACAACATAAACATGCGTCCTGTCACTCCATATATTACATTTATACTATGTGAAATAGCTTTTAACACATTATTTATGATTTAAAGAATGACATTTGCTTCTGATTCTAGCTTTCAACTCAACGGCAGTCACCGTTTTGAGGGAGCTACTCCCGCCGCAGCGCAGAAGTGAGATTTATTTTGAAGGTTTCTAGCGGAAGCACCGTGTTCAGTGAGGACAGCTTGACGCGGGGTCTTGAGCCGTTCCCTCTGGCAGTAAAAGTTTTCCTGACGCGGAGATGGAAACATGGCGCGGGGATGGGCGTCACGTGACGTAGCACCAACGAAACCAGTGATTCCCAGTGGAAAACACAAAGCTGCACCAGGAACTTTAATGGGATGGAATAAAAAAAAAACTGGAATGTTTAGTAGGCCAAGGGTCTTTGAAACTTTCCCTTAGCAAAGGCACCAAGGACGAAGCCATCTGATCCAGTGTCAATGTTTTATTGTAATATGTGTGTGTAATGTGAGAAATATGAGTGTATTCACTTGGATTATGAAAACTATTACAGTATACAGATCTTGTGTTTTAGTAAAAGTGGCTATATTACATTATAAACAAACTCTATTATGAGTAAAGCTCCTGCATCTAAAACCAGAGGTACTGTCAGTCAAATGTAATAAAAGCATCAATAATGTACCGTCAGTATTTTATTATAGATTATACTGCATTATTATAACATTTAAATGCTGAGGCAGAACAAGTTACTTCATCTGAACTACTTAATTCACAGTTTAATTTATATCAACGAATCATTTTACTGACTGAGCATGTGGTTTTATTTAAGTGATTGTGAAAATCAACTGGTTTCATCATAAAATGTACAAATAGTACAATATGTGTTTATGGTTTCAGTTCTAGTAAATGTACTTAGCTTCATTCCACCACTGATTGCTTAACTTTTCATTGGGGCCATCTGCCCATAACAAACACCTGCAAATTATTGGACAAATTCAGGGAACATAAAACATTTAATTCAATAACAATAAACTTTATTTATAGAGCACCTTTCATGCATTAAATGCTAACAAAGAAAACGAGCAGATCAGACGGTTAAAATGTGAACATTTAAAAATAAGATTAACAATATGAATAACCATAATAATAACAACAAAAGCAATTATCATTACCATAAACCCTTCCATTACCTCTTGGATCAGCTATCATTTTATTATACTGCGTGATGTGTTGGCCTGAAAAGAAACAACTTTTCCAGTACCTGAGGGGACTGAATAATAGATTAAGGCCCATTCGAAAGAGTCTCTGAGGCTTTGGGGATGCAAAGATGTTGATCTTCCATTGTAAGCCCTCATGCTTCTCCCTCCCTCTTCTCAGTTGTCAGGGCTCTTTTGTGGATGCTTCCTCGCACAGCTGAAAGAAGAAGCTCAATTTCACAAATTAGTGCTCTCTTAGGCCCCGGACACCTATCAAGTGACAGCATATTTATTTGGTGGCGGGTACAGATGGAGTAAAGGGACAGGAAGAAATGCGTCAGTGACATATTTACGTAGATTCTTATGTAAAATGGGGACATCTTGAATATCAAGGCACAGTCACACGCAGGTACTGCTGTTTGTTTACATTCATTCAACACTACAGTGCAAAAGACCTATGTCAAAATCTCAATGGGTTGAGAAAGTTTCACAATACTCATTTTACATTCATGCTTCTTGGACCCATGTAACAGTGCAGCAAACTTCTGAATATAACTTAAGAAGAGTTACAGCTGTTTTCCTGCGGCGGATGCAGATGACTGGGTATCCATGAATCTAAGGCATCGCCCTTGCAGTTAAATTATAGGGGTGAGAGTGTGTAGGCCTCCACTAGGGCCTGTGTTACACCTCAGACCAGAGACTACAGGGAGGGCTCACAGTGCCCTCTTCTGCTTCAATGGTGCAACTACTCCTTGAAAATAGACCACGGTTATCTGGAGGACTTCACTAAATACACTAAATAAATTCAGCGTTAAAGACAAAAGACAAAGATATTCGTGCATTTATAAACATGTTCTCCACAATCAACCTAGTTGAAAGTAATTATGGGTATCATCACATGGGCACATTCATCAAATATACCAAATGCACAAATACTGTATGTGCCAGCAGGAGGTGGGCTTGTACTGTAAAAATCTTCATCAATCTAAAAGAGTTTATTTTATTTTACAATACTACATTGTTGCCAATTTTGACCAAATTAGCTACAGATTAATTGTACAAAAATGTATTTAAACGGGGGGGAACTGTTACACTTTACACTGTCTTTAGGTGCCTTACGTTAGTTGATACATGTAAACGTCTTCCTTGTGAATGTCTTCGCTTTTGTCACGTTACCACTACTTACGGGGACTAATGTTGTATTTTCTTTTGTGCATAAGAGGAAAAGTGTAGTGACTGCGTCTGACTGCCTCGAAGAGAAACGTGCTGTTTCTATCCCATCATCCAGGGCTTTTGTTTTACCGGACAAGTTTCTTATTTATACCGAGATAATTTAAAGACACAACTAAAATACTATACCAGGAGTGGGGTTCGAACCCACGCGGACATATGTCCATTGGATCTTAAGTCCAACGCCTTAACCACTCGGCCATCCTGGTGTATACACCGCATCCCGCCACATTTCCCCTAGAAAAATCATATATAATACGGATTGGGTTGAATTTATTGGGGGATTTATTTCCAAATAACCAAGTTTAATAAATAAGTTTAAAAACGAACGATTGTTACAACAGCTCCCCGCATTAAAAACGCCTCATAGAGGGAATAACTATGATGCTAGCGCTGTGTTAGCCGCCAGCAGCTAACTTACAGAGGCAGACTGACGCGGACTTGCTAATGTCACGTTCGTTGGCAAGACAACACAGCTTTTAGACAAATTAACACATCTACCGCCGAAACTTCAAACTGTGTTTAAGATTTGTACTTAGTGTTAAGTTTTCAAAAGCATTTCCAGACATAATAATGTCAGCTTATCGTCTTGCTTGACTCCCTGCTGACTAACGTTATATCGATCGTTACCAACAGAAAGTAAACTAACTCTCTGTGCCAGTCACCGGGTAGCAGAAGTTAAAAATACACTGTATTTACAGCCATACACTGTGAGTGTTAGTTTAATGGTGCCAAGCCAAATGAGGGTGCGAAGGAAAGCAAAACCCCAAACAGAAAAAACCTCTGGAGACATTCACGAATCCGTGCAGGAGAAGTTAACCGGAGTCGGTAGGAGACTTGAAGTGACAGTGACGGTTACTACGGGCTGACCGCGGCACTGAAACCGGACACGGTTGCTTTGTATATCCCATTTTACAACACATATTTTACACTTCTCTCTTCTGTATAAGAAAATATACTTTCATATTTACTTTATTTACAAATTGCAAAATGACTTTAAGTGGCTGTTTCTGGCGTTGGTACAGTGTACAAACTACTAATGGTTTCATTTTGTTTAATGAGATCTGTTTAATTATACAGTTAAATATGATCAAATGTAACTTTGTTCTGGGATATGGAAATAATATAAACTACTAAAGCACTATATGAACTGATCTGAGTACATTACATTACATTATTACCTGATCTTGAGAGTCCCTGTGTCAAAATCTGGGATTAGTTCCTGATATAATATTTCAGCTGACACTGGGCCTACTAAATTAATTTATTTTTAATCAAATTACCACACAACAAGCCTGGAGCCATGTAATATAGCAGGAATAACACACACACACACACACACACACACAGCTCATGTTTGTCCCTTGCTCATGTTAAGGTTACTTATTTTTCAATAACAAGACATAAGCTGTAGGCTAACATAAACTACTGGACTAACCATCTTGTTAACATAATTTGGCTTCATACAGGACCACACAGGCTGACAGCTAAAGGCTACAGCTCTCTCATTTTACACTCAAAAAATAGATTGTGTCATGGGATCATGTGAAATGTCTTTTGTCCAGTCGGAGTCTGACTGAAAGAAGAATCTGGAAGAGCAGCTCTCTTTCTCTTCCTCATTCTTTGGCTGGCTGTAGAGCCATTTCTGACTTTAATACCTGCTTCAAAACCCACATCAACATAGCATTTTAAACCAAACGTACCTTTTTGTCATAGGCATGAAACGTCTCTCATCATCTCATCGTCTTTGTCACTTTAGAGTTTCACTTTCTTTTAGTGTTTTTTTATTTATTGTGTATCTGAATCTCCTCCCACTTAGATAAAACCAAGCTATTTCTCCTGAAGTACAACCACATAGTGATGGTGACTTTGATAATTTACTGTAATCCTGTTCCCTCTTCTAAATGGATCTTATCTGTCACCACTAACTGCACCACCATAACTCTCATGACTCCAATTCTTCCACTTTTCTAAAGACCATGTCTTATCCCCATGATTCAACTTACTATGTTGATGTTCTGCCAAGCACAACAAACCAATTTTAATTTACTACAACAGCATTTATTTTGCACGTCAGGGATCTGTTTAACTGATTCAACTTAAATTAAAACATATATATTTCTCTCATGCACACACACACACGCACACTCACTATTAAATTAATTATCTGATCCAAATAACAGGAACAGTTATTTCTGTGTAAATCAAATTTAGACTGCTGGTCTTACATCTGCTGACTTACAATGGATTACAAAACATTACATAACATTTCTTTTCAGCTGTCCATAACTTTTTACACAAGTAAATATTTATTTTTAATCATCCATAACATTGCATAAAGTCAAAATAAGCCCTTAAAAAGTTTGGTTGTGTCTCCAACAGGGTAGACAGGGGCAACATTGTTGAAAAGGGTTTTTCCTCTTGTACTGTAGGGCCCTCTTGATGTGAACATTGACTTTGTCGACATACTCCTCAGTCTTACACACATTGGCCTCAATGTTATTTACCATGGATCCCTGCTCTTCCACCAGCACGGCCATCTGCATGAACAGGTCATGGACCTCCTTCAGTCTGGCCTCCAGCTCCACCAGCTCCTTGTGTCTTCCCTTGATCTCACACATCGCCCAACGGGACGAGCGTCCGCCTTCAGTCTGCAGGCTCTGGGACAGCTCAGTCCATCCCTCACCACCTTTGTCCACCATCCCATCCAGCTGGTCATCAGTGATTTCAGTCCCCAGTATGGAGGCCTGCCTCTGGATCCTCCCTCGACACGTTTTCCTCTGCATCTCCTCTGCCTTATTGTAGTCACTCATGGTAGCGTGGAAGGTGCGAGTCAGTGTGTCATACTGAACTCGGGCAATGCGACTAGCAGCAGAGTTGGGGCCTTCTTTCACCTCCAGCTGGCGGCTCTCTTCACCCAGGGTCTTAAGGCGGGCGTACAGGGCCTCCCCACGTTGCTGAACCCCTCTGGCAATGGAGTCAGAGTCCTTTTTGAGCAGGGTGAGGCGCCGCACAGAGGTGCCAAAGCGTTCATTATGGATACTCAATCGCTCCACCTCTAGGTGGAGCAAAGAGATCTCCTTGCGTATGGAGTGGGCTTCCTTCAGGATGTTGTCAATAGCTGAGGTGTTCTCAAACACCACTGCCTGTTGAGACAGAGTCACTTTGTCTACATCATATTCAGGTCCATAAAACTCTGGCTCATAGTCCTCCTCCTCCTCGCCAATGGTCTTCAGCCTCTCCAGCATGTCCCGCATCCTGCCTGAGAGACCAGAGTAAAACAAGATGTTGGTCAGTCAGTTTCAGGTACATTTTCATGATGATCAAATACAATAAATTCATGTTATTATCACATGCATTCTACATGTTGAGTTGTGGGCACCCTCATTATGATAAACTCTCATAGGGGCTCCCCATAAATATTAATACTATAATAATGATATTAAAAGGTCCTATATTGTAGAAAGTGAAATTTTATGTCTTTTATAATTATAAAACAGGTCTAGGTGCTATATAAATACTGTAAAAGTAGTTTAAACCATCAGACTTTCGTAAAGTTGTGATTATTTTCACCCTCAACCTGTTTTTTGGTTGTTGTTTTAACTCCAGGGCACAAAGGAGTGCCCTGGAGTGATATTTGTTTGTATTCCACCTGAATACTTTTTGCATACACTCTGTTCCTCTTGTGTTTTAACTTTATTAACAAAACAACACTAAGCAGTCATTCCATTGCTGAGCAAGCAAGCTACAAGATAGAAAAATTGTCAAGGAAAATCTGCACAATTGTTGGATGTCAGGAAGACACGACTCATGGTGATTTAACATTACAGACTTTTCCTAATGGGCAGATAGCTTTACTTGTTGCTTCAACGATTGCTAACTGTTATTCTTTAGCAGCTACTTAAGCCACAAACATCAAGTAAAGTTATCTTTCCATCAGTGGGAAAAAACAGAATAGATTTTCTCCATAAAATATAATGCAGTTTTACTGAAACCACTGAATAAAATTGTGTTTTTGTACACTAATTAGTGAGGCCTCTCCACCAGAAACACAGGGCACCCTTAAAGAGACAGAAGATAAAATAGCTTCAAATAGAGGATGAACTGACAGGCTGCATGAAGGGCCAGTATAAAATAAATAGGATTAAAACAGTACTTTAGTGGAGTCTGAGAATAAAAATATAGAGCTGGGAATTTGCACATTTCTCCTTTAAAGAAGCATTTCACCCCGTGGAAAACAATCTTTATTGAAAGTGGGTTATATATGTAGTCGAAATGTAACATAAATTCTGAATTCGGTGCCTATTTCACCCCCTCTACGAAGATATGAGACTTCCTGCTTCCAGTGATGCAAAATGACGATTTTTACATCATTGGAAGCAGAAGTGCAACACTGAAATGCGTATTTCTCCCGTCTCAGGGGAAATGAGGGAATGGTGCACGACTGGGTTTCTAACGACTGGGTTTCTAACGAAACAAAGCTTAATGCAAATGGGTGAAGTGTCCCTTTAAACACTGAGTACCATGGTGACAGTAATGCCAATTGATTTAAAGAGGAAATGCTGATATCCAAAGCTAATATATCAGTATTGTATAACTATTGATACAATGACTGGTCAGTTTATCTGTAGTTTCAATCTGTGGCAATGACAGCAGTCACAGCTCAAAGGCTTGTTGGAATGTGTTCATTTAAACCAGGAACAAGGAAGACACCATCTTACTGAAAAACAAACATTTGCTTTGAATGTGCTTATGGTATGGCATTGTTGCACAGTATGTTTGTTTAAGTAGTGCATTAATAAGTACGTTAAGAAGTACATTCATTTGGTCAAACTCATCCTGCTCTAAACTTTTAAGACTGTGGTGCTTGCCTAAATCTCTGCCACTGATTTTATCACACAGTCTCAGTGTGCACATACAAAATCCATTTCCTCATACCTCATAGTAGTAGAAATTCATGAAATTGTTTGAAAAGCTGTCACTGCGTATAATACAACAATTAAATGTCTTGTTTCTTGATGACCACTGAATCAGCCTAGTTTCAGTCTTTCCAAGCAGCTCTGGCAGTATCACACTAATTAACTCCCACCAATTATCCACTTGTCTCCAGCTGCCTCTGCTTCTCATATTTCTAAAAAAAATTCATGACATATCATTCAGCTATCAATGCATAGTGTCTTACCTCTTGTAAATGGCTTCCACTAAAGCAGAAAGCAAGTAAATCCCTTCAATGTGTCTCACTCTGATACATTTGGTCCAAGGCACTTGAGAAACACATCTTTCTATTCTAAAGGAAGTTGTCTGCCGTGTGTTCATTGTGTGTGTGAATGCCGCCCCTACCCCGATGACAGACATAGGCCTTCCCACTGCAACACAAAAACACTTCCTTGCAGGGAAATGGGTTTTTTAGCAGTTTTCTTTTCACTTCAGGAAGCAGGAGACTTATTGATTAAGTAAGACAGTTTTCCAATGGACCAATGTTCATGAGACGTGTATTGAGGAATTAAGTGTTTGACAGTGAACTGCTGGACTAATGTAATGCAAGCTGCTATTTGTTTGTAAAGTGATGACACCTGTGTGTTAGTGCAGTGTTTCTCCAATCTGGGTATCTGTACTAGTGGTACTTTGGAGTACTGCAGGGGGTATGTGAGATTGTTTTGTTTTTTTAATCTTAGAGTTAGTTACTATCAAACCACCATCATCATTTAATAATTTACATATATATAGTAATTCAGAAAATATTTACACTGCAATTTTAAATCTTTGTTTAGAAAATATCAGTCTTGCATAACTCCTAAATGAATTATGCTATAATAACGTCAATAAAACCACATTTTATATTCAATTTTAAAATGCTTCAATGTTATCTGACATAAACTGTCAACTAAAGTAAAACCTCTGGAAAAGAAATTGATGACAAAGATCTTACTGAAGCACAAGCAATGCATGTTTCTCATTAAATTGTAGGTGTAACTTATCAAAAAGACTCAATTTCAACTTCAATGCTGTTTAGTGTTATTGCTTGATGTTTTAAAATAATGTTTTCCCAGGAATTTAATGACGGATTCCAAACATTTGAAATTAAGCATTTAAGTATTCTTAAAAAATCAGACACTGATTGAGCAGCGCTATATTGTACCTCCTTTTATAGGCACTTTTCTACCAAAAATGTTTTGTGATGATCTGCAGGTACTTCACTGAAAAAAAAATTCAATTTACATTATTGAAAAATGTTTGAGAACCACTGTGTTAGTGGATGTGTGTGTCTGGGATACCACTGGATGATTAGGAGGCCCAGGGCTGGACAGAGAGTATTACATAAATACCAGATTATATGTATTATGTTGTTCGTACTTAGCTGTGACCCAATATTTATGGCAGTGGCCCCTGGTTTGTTAACTTGAATTAAGAAATAAATCTCAACAGGTCTTTATTTTAATGTGTTGATGTTCAAACAAGAACAAACTCCCACTGATTTTATTATAGCTCTTTATGTAATGATACATGACACCACTGAAGAAAGTCAGACATCAAGGTATCATCATACATGTAGTCAGATTAACAGATCAGTGTACATTACATCATTTACATCATACATCAACTGTGTGATTCCTGCATAACATTAAGACAGCATTATATATACTATAAAAACTGCTGTCACTCCTCGATTACTGGTGTCCTCAAAAGATAAGGAAATAAATTTAAATAGGTTCATTGTGCAATGTGGACACAGAAGAGTTAGTTACTATCACCATCATAATTTAATAATTTACATATATATAGTAATTCAGAAAATATTTACAGTCCAATCAATCATTTTCTTTCAGCCTTGAGTCTGGGACATCCATTTTTACCAGTGCATTGACACAGTAATATTGAATTGTTTATTGAATTTGGATATAACAACATTTCTTTAGGGTTTATGTCCTTAAGCAGTTTACTGTATTGGGAACCTTTATGTCAGCACAAACATGTAACTCAATTTCCTGCAATTTTAAGAGAATAAACATTACATGGAAACTGAGACAGGCTATAAAAACGGAGCATGAACGTTATTTTCAAATACTATTAGTTTCAGGTCTGCATTACATCTCAGTCACAGGGGGATTTATTCTGATTTGAGATACCAGTCTCAAACCTTTCATTCAGACATTACAGACATGAATGGCATCACTTCAATACGATTTTAAAATGTTTTACCCAAGCATTTCTATCTCTCAGTATAGACAATAGATTTTTTTAAACTTTCAATCAAAACTTTATTTTACTTCCTGGAAAAAATGTGGTGCAATGGGCATGTTAAATGCTTTGTGATAATACAGTGTACTAATAGAAGGTGGAAAAAATACATTTCCCACTTCCCTTTGTCTGAACAGAAGATTGCGTATCTCTCCATCCCTTTACCAATCTCTAGACTATAAACTCATTAATTGTAGCATGGGAAACAGCTGCAAAACATCCTTTTAAAGGGGTTTTTTTTGTCATGACGTTTGGCCTTGCCAAGTTTGACCAGGGCCAATTGTATGTCTTCATCAGTTTTCTGAACGTTGGTTTGGATGGAGGTCAGCATGGTGCCCTGGTCTTCCACCAGCATGGCGATGTCCAGGAAAATCTCATGGATGCCATTGATACGAGCCTCGAGGTCCACCAGCTCTTGGTGACGTTTCTCGATCTTGGACAGAGCTGATCGGGCCGTTTTACCCTCACTCACAACGTTGTCATTGAAGATGTTCCACTGACCTGTCTCAATCATCTCCTCCACCTCCTCCCCTGTCATCTCACGTCCCACTATCTCCATTTGCCTCCGGATCTGGGCTTTACAGTTCTCCCGGTGGCTCATCTCAGCCTCGTTATAGTCAAACATGGCGTCACGGAAACCATTGCTGAGGCAAGCGTATTGGGTTCTGGCGATACGTGTGATGGCAGAATTCGAGCCACATTCTTCTTCTAGCTTGCGGGCTCTGCCGTCCATTTCCTGCAGGTGTGCTAGCACACCCTCAGCCCGAGTCTTTATATCAGCACCAATGGCGTTGGAGTCCCTTTTGATAGTGCTCATGGTGGTGACGCCCTTGAGAATGCGAGAGTTCTGCTCTCGAAGCCTTTTAACCTCCAGGCGGATGAGCTGGATCTCTCTGTGGATGTCTTGCGACTGGGAAAAGACCCCCTCCAGAGCAGGGCTGTTGTCGAACACTACTGCTTCATGGGCCAACTCGTCCTCTAGGTCCACGTTGCTGAAGGACTCGGAGACAGTCGACTCTGCATATTCCATTGGCTCCACATGGCCATTAGACATTTCCTGCAGGTTGCTCAGTCTGTCCCTCATGGTTGGGCTGGAGAACAAACAGAAGGTTACAGATCGTTTCCCTGTCTTGTTATTTGTCCTAACATATATTGAACATGACTCAGTAAAGATGACCTGAAAGAGTCATCAGCAACAACAAATCTTTAGTTTTACATCAAGTGGAGTTTAACTTTTTGAACCACAGATGGTTTGATAAAACACAATGTAAGAAGGGACACAAGTTTAAACACACCCGAATCTCATTAAGCTGTCGTGCCTGTTTAAAAGCATTTTCCTTCTTCCTTCAGCTCTAACCCACCCAGCACTGGCCCAACAGGTTCTCCAAAGAACAGTCAAAAGGTGTTCCTCCTCACCAAACTAGTTCTTTTAACTCGTGATCTGTCTGACGTCTTTAAGCAGACATTCATGTTTGCTTCTAATCTAAGTGGAGCATCAAATTCTGCAAATACTGCACATCCGATATCTTGGATCTCCAGTTTGAGTAATAGTCTAAAATAAAACATTTCCAATGTGAAATAAGGTTATTAGATTGAAAGTTCTCAAACTTCAGGAACTCCTGCCTGATTATGTTCTTGCTGTCTTTCTCTGTTCTCAGATGAATAGTCTTTATATGTGATCAGAACAGGCCTTTAAATAATTCCATATTAAGTTGACATCTAGTGGGTAGAATATTAAAATGTATTAATACTAAAATTAATATTGACTCAAGTGCTCCAGGTCATAAGGTTGGGAATTATTCTAGACTACAATACTTAACACCCATGAAAAACACTCCTTTAAAGTAGGAATTATTCAAATGATCTGCACCTGCTCAGTCTCATGATTAAAGGTGTTCAAGGTAAATGGTAGCAGGCTGGATGCAGACACGCTGTGGCTCCAAGGCTTTATAAATAAATATATGTATATAGTAAACAATACAATCTATGTACATTTATTTTAAATACATTTTTTTAAAGAAATCGCAAATGTATGTTTTATTAAATATAGTTAATTGATTTCGTTTAAATGCATTTTGTTTACCCTGCTGAGTAGCTATCACCACATTGCTTAAATCTCAGCTCATTTTATAATCGGACTCCAAACACACGCATAGGTTTATCATTTCCTACAACATTTTTCTCTCAGTTTCATGCATGTTTGTAAGATTAAAATAAAGAAAAATCCTTACCCGTTGTACTCTGATCTCCACAGAAATCAAACCTTATCCTATAATGTGAAGGTGGCCTCGGTGCCACAGCACCATCCTACAGTTTCTAAAGTCGACTGCTACGGGCTGAAACAAAAGGGCCCTACGTGAGTAATGCACCTATCTTTAGAGCCAGAACTGGTATTCAACTGTGGTTTTGTTAGAGAGAAGCATTGCGCCACGCCATGGGACTGTAATGATGCGACCTGAGGAATGAAGCCAGGTCGGTTTGCAGTGACGCTGCACCTCAAGAGCGTCAATCGGATAAGACGAGGTGTGAGCAGCTGCTGTGTATGAACCGAGTGAGAGCCAATCTGAACCCTAAAGAATAAAACTGACTGTTAGGAAAATGAAAATGGAGGCCCAAAGGTCTAAATATTTATGACACTCGTCAATCACCAGCCATTGTGTCTCTGTCATTTAAACAGCAGCCACTGTGGAAGGGTTAGTTTTGATGGCAGTGATACCTGACAGTCCTGGAGCAGGTACAACCGAGCCCATGTTCAGGTGGATTGACGTTGATTTTCTCAGCCACGCCCAAATGACTTCTGCTGTGTGTGTGTGTGTGTGTGTGTGGTGGTTGTGTGGTGTGTGAGAGAGAGAGAAAGAGAGAGAGAGAAGAGAAGAGAGAGAGAAGAGAGAGAGAGAGAGAGAGAAGAGAGAGAGAGAGAGAGAGAGAGAGAGAGAGAAGAGGAAGAGAAAAGAGAGGAGAAGAGAAGAGAGAGAGAGAAGGAGAGGGAGAGAGAACGATATATTCAGTATTTGACCACCAGTGTTGGTTAATACTCCAAAAAAATTAATATATGATACTCATTCCTCTTAAAATAAATATACTCTACTAGTATATTACTTTGGCTGGGCTCTCCCCACCAAAATTGGTAAGTGTCCCGTCTCCCACACAATTAGAAAGATTAGATGCAGCTTGCTGTCATTGCAACAAAAAATATATAGACAACGAAAAAGCAGTTAAGATATAATTCATGGTGTGGGCACAAACTAAGTGGCTGCCCGCTAAACAACTGTACCAAATCTTTCATTTTAGGGAAGCTTGGTTTATTTCCCTCTTCGAGCTTAACGATGTGCATAACTGAAACACCTTTATGTAAACTCATCAAAGTTTATTTTTCAGTTTGCAAAACAGCATGTTAACATAAAACCATGTACAACACACACATTTCATGTTTTTTTTATTATTAATTTGTTGAGAATTCTAAATAAATTGGCCGTAAAGTCTTATCACAGAGGGAGAAGGACATCGATCCCAGGTGATCCCACCTACGATTGAACATAGCCATCAACTTCAGACTCCAACTCCTCACACACACACACTTTGATTCGTGGCTGCCTGGTATTGATTCCAATGGGATTAGTCTAATCACTGTCAATCATCTGATCACCAATGATAAGAGTGGTTACCTTCTTTAACATACTGGGTTATCATAGCTGCATCCAAAGAGTTATTTTCTCAGGTATTTGAGAGCTGAGACATTTAATTGTGTGTTATTTAACATGCATACAGTCTATAGTAGTATCTATCTATCTATCTATCATATCTATCTATCTATCTATCTAATCTTTGCTATTATCTATCTATCTATTATCTTATCTATCTATCTATCTATTATGTACCCAGTTTTATAGACCATAATGTTTTGAAATGCTTTTGTGAACCCACATGGCCTTCTTAAGTCTGTCAATATAGCACGTGAAGGCGCATGCTTGTAACCGCGAGCACCTAACTCCTTTGAGGCCTTCAAGTGTACCTCGGATTTACAAGTATTCGTGTGCACCTGGTTAAAAATCAAAACATAAACCCTGTGCTAGAATGTTAATATAATATTGTTGTGGCCTTTTAACAAGTAGAGCAGCCGACCTAGCAGCAATGGTGGACTAAAGAAGCTATATACACGTTACATTTTTGTGATTTACACCGAAATTATAACATGATGTTGTTGAGCGTTAGAAAAAGTACCAGCCACGTTGCCTACGCCCTAATCGTCCTTTAGCTCGTGTTATCGTAACGACTCTGTCTCAGTTTGGGATTCATCACACGGTTTTACGTTTTGGTGATTTGTGTCGAACTTGGAATCTTCAGATTTCCGACTGCCCGTGAAGACACCACAGCTCCATCACGACCCCGCCGCCACCTCAACTTTCTTTTTGTTCCTCCCGTGAGGTTGAACCCGTCGCCGGCCATCGCAAGCAGAGAGACCGCGGTGAAACAAAACAGCGACTCAGACTAAACCATGAAGTTGTCTATAATCCGTAGCGCCTGTGGCAGCCTTCGGATACATCCAACCCACCCAGGAAGCAGGATCGGCGGCTTGTCGCGGAGATGCGTCCCGGTTGGTCCTGCCAGCAGCCGGTTGATGGTCCGGACCGCCGTTACCACCGGCGGCGGTACCAACCCGAAACCAGCACTTAACTTCAGGAAACAGCCCCAGAAGGAGGGTGGCTTTGAATGCGACACTTCTTTGAGGTAAGAAAAGAGACATGCTACGTTTAAAAAAAATACACTATGTGGCCCCGGAGTTACTGTTATATTTGTATTATTGTTTTAAGACACGGTGTAGTTTGTGGTAGGTTCCGTTACATCCGGTCTCACCGGCGTTTTTTTTTGTTTTGTTTTTCGCTTTTTGGCGAGCAGCCAGTCCCACACGTGTCTCCGGTATCATCGGAGGGACTGCAGCCAGCTGATGTAACTTTTCTCTGTTGTTGCCAAAAACACAATGTAAAAAAAAAAGTGCCTCAAATCACAGTGAGTGGAGCTAAAACACATATAAATCCAAATATATACACAATGAGTCGTGCTGCAACGTTATGAGACATCACTGTATATGTGTGTTAGTCTAACGTTATAGGTTTATGCCATTTGTATTGTGTGTGTGTGTGTGTGTGTGGCATGTAGTATACGTTATGGTGGGGGGGGTTTAATGTTTAATTATGTCTACTATAGTCCAATAAAATACACTGAATGGTCGATCCGAGATGGCTAGAGTCGGACTTGCTTTAGTTAGTGTTTACATTTTGGGCAATATATAGGTCAGTGTGTTAATACTACACGTTTACATATTAGCCCCTCCCACACACGTGTGCAGCGAGGTGGCCAATGGCTGCAACCTCTCAATGTTTATTTTATTTAATTTAATTTAAAGAAAAATCTAATTTTTGTGAGATGTGGTATTCCTTTAACTGCAGCTTTACAGTGTATTTAGTTGGAAGTACTGCTCACAGTCTAATTTAATAGGACTGCACAATTAATTAAAATATAAATCCATATTTAAATCACGTAGTAGTAAAGTAGAACGTGTGACAGACAACGTTATAATGAAGCACTGTTATACTAGGAACTAGGAAAACATGTTTGTGTGGTACAGACCCCAAAAAATGTTCATCATATCGTCAAAAAAACAGATAATTCCCACTAATCCTGAAGCATATATATCTATATATCAATATCTATCAAAATAATCACAATATTACTTTCTGCAGTCCCATAATTTACCTATTTTATTTGAATAGGGCAAGTTTAGAGAGAGTTTGAGGCTTTATTTACAATTAAGTGTTTTATCCCATCCCCCAAATCATCCCACAAACACAGAATAAATGGTTCTAAATGGTATCCACTTTTCTGCTGTAGGTACCTTTACTAAAATCTTAAAGAATGCACATGTTTGACTTGAATTTATTTTAAAACCCCTGTGTTTAATGGCTTTATTTTCTTTCCCAGGGAAGTGGTTCAGAGCACCAAGGAGGCAATGCTGGCTCTGCAGAGGAGAAATCCATCAATCCAACCTCTGCTAGCCATTATACAGGTATTGTAAGCCAGAAACAGAAGTAGTATGTGTGATGATGAGTGGTGATTTTCAACCTTAATTTACCTTTGACCTTACCCGAGGGTTCTCTGTTTTCTACTGGAGCCATTAAAGATTCCTGTGTTATCAGGTCTCTGTGTGTTTTTCTCATGTTCGGATTTTATCTCAAAGGCAGGTGAAGATGACGGCTTGTTGGAGATCAATAAGAAAATGGCAGGAACGGTAATTTTCCTCGTTTGTACCCATTTTGTCTTGTCACAAATCACATTCATTACACAATCATTCAAACAGTTCACCCTCTGCTTGTCTCTATATGCACAGATTGGCCTAAACATCACTCAGATTTGTCTGGCGAAGGAGTGCAGTGAAGATGAAGTAAGTGGAATTGACTCACACATTTGGTAAACGCCTCTCAGTTCCTACTCCCACCATTGTTTAACAAGTCAGTGCATGATGTCCCGCTCCCCTGGCTGTTTGTCTGCGCCGCGTGGGATCATGGTGGTTGTGTGAAACGTGAAGGTAATCTGTGACTCACATAAGCTTTCATGTCCTTAAAACTTTACTTAACTGTATGTCATCCTCTGTTAACATGGCAGATCCTTGATTTCCTAATTGAGTCAGTCACCCATTAGGTTCTTTTTTCATTTCTTTCCTCACTTCATGGTAGTTTACAACTTTATGTAACTGGGACCAGGAAGCAGCCTCTCAGCTGTGGCTCTCTTTGCCCAAATGGAAGTCGACTCTTCATCTATGTAGAAAGCAGGAACCCCTGGGAATAGCTCAGGCATTTCAGCTGACAGTGGATTATTTACATCACACTTCCTCGCCTTAAGGGCTCTCTACTGATCTACTGATCTACTGCTCTACTTTCACACAGCTTTCCTCTCTTTTCAGAAATTCCCTCTCTCTTTCCTCTGGGATTACTATCATTTGTAACGCTCAGTTAATAGTGCTGAACTGTTCAATTTAAAGGTGAACATGCTGTTTCTCGCTTTCTTTGTTCTGAAACATTACTTTATTTTAAAAGATCAAAGGTACTTTACCTTTTAGGTACGAAGGCTGGAGTTTTCTGTGGGCCGTACAGACAGTATTCATACTAGGAAGTATTATATTAATAGTTTAACATGTTACATTTCCACAAGTATTGCAACTATGCTGTGTAAACTTTTTCTGCAAAAATTCTCATTTCTGTTTGCGTGTGTTTTGTCTTTTTGTGCGCACGTAGATTGTGGAGGAGGTGTTGAAGCTGAATGAAGACCCCAGGGTGCACGGAGTCTACCTCCACCTCCCCCCTGCTTCCCTCACCAGTCGAGTGCTGAACACACTCAAACCTGAGAAGGATGTAGACGGGTAAAAACCTGCACTAGCTAACTAGGATCATTACATTTAAACACAGAGACAGTGAATAGCTTGTTTTACGTGTCTGCAGTTGACAGTTTTATGCAGCAGTCAGTCAGGTACCAGCTGTTCGTGTTTCCCTGTCCTAATGGAGATAAATGCATTTACTCACATGGTATGTCAAATTGGCGCTAATCAGAAAGGGCTGCACAGAATTAAGATTGTGTGCCTTCAGCAGACAAGTGAATCAGAAAATTAGCAAGGCACCCTTCATAATCATCACAAATTGAAGTGAACTGGTTCAGTAGAGGACAAATAATGTAAAGCAAATTAATCCCAAAAAATGCTCAGGTGGTCTCATGAAAAACTGCTTTTGATTTACTGCAACAAGCTGCTTTATGTTTATTTTTACTGTTAATGTTTTCTCTGTCTAATAATACAATCTAATTACAACTATACAATATACTTTTAAATGTTACTCTCCAGTGTAACCTATGATGTTTGTCTCATTTGTATTAATTTTGTACTTTTTTATTAATGTACTTGATACTGTTATCCATAACATTAAAAAAAAACTACTGTAGCTTCTATGGACAACAATGATTTATTCATTCTGATGTATTTATATATTAAAAATGGGTTATATTTATATCTTGTTATAGGATATCAGATTTGAATATGGGCCGTCTGGTTCGAGGAGACCTCAGCAAAGGCTTTGTGCCACCCATAGCCAACGCTGTCCTGGATCTGCTGGAGAAACACGGTGAGTTTCTGGGAATGGACAAACTACACCGATACTTTTATATATGTAGCTGTATACGTAGCGGCTGTTCTTCTCATAGTTGTCACAGCATGGAAAACACAGGTGTAGCTAATAGTGAGAAGTGAGTTTGACTACTGTACTACAGTATTAGTAATAATAACACTGACAGTCAGTATTATTGTGGCACACCAGTTTCTGAGATTCAGCTGTGACAATGTCCCTGTTTTCGAACTGTTTTGAGTAGGTTGTGGGTAGTACAAATACTAAATTTTAATATCTGAGTGATTTCTGACATTGCATGATACAGTACATGTTAACCATTTCTATACATTTTACTAATACTATAAATATATGCTACTGAATCTTATTAAATCTTATCTAATTTTATTATTATATTTCTTTGCATTTAGTATGTAAGAAATTAAGGCACTTTACTGTTATGTACGAGCAGAAAATGATCCTATACTGTGTGTTAATGAATGTCAAGTGTAGTACAACTTAGTGAACCTTTGCCAATTTCAAACAGGACAATTTAGCAAACAAACAAAAGGCAAGCAGGATATTGTATACTTTATTTTTTCAGTATGAACACATCATGTGATTAAAACCTGATTTAAATGAGTATATAGTAAAGAAAGGGGACACACTTTATGTATGAAGTGAAAATGGCACGATATTAAGATTCTCTCAGTTTTTAGAATATATTTTGGGAATTAAGTAAGGACATAAAACTCCAGTGCAACAATAAAGATTTATGTGTTGGGACACAAGGGAAAAGGCTGACTCAACAGGTTAACTACTGAAGTGGGGACCAATTTGAGACACACACTCGGGTTCAGAGGGGAGGGGTCAAAGTTGTCCATCAGGTCACAGTTATTCTGAGTATCCCTGTTGCAACCAGTAGAGATTCACAACGATTTCAATATGTGGTGCAGTTTCTCAACACACAGGTCTTGAAAGTGATGTTTGTTCATTTCCAGTAGTATATGGTGATTTATTTCAAAATATAAAGTGTATGGGCATCAGATTTGAAAATGTACCACATTGTAAATATGACCACAGTGTTGCACAAAGCTATTAAACACCTACTTTACGATTGGTGTGCATCCATGTCCAGATGGTCAGCATTTTAATAGGGATCATGAACACTCACCCAAATGGGCTCAACTGTAGCTGAAATGTGGACCACGGTGACAGTTGGGTCACTCATGCACATAAAGCACTTTATGAATGAAGAATGTTCTAATGTTGCATTAAAACATTTCTACAGACACTCCTTTGGAAGGGAAAACTGTGTTGCTGGTTGGAGGAGAAGGATCCCTTGGAGTGGCCCTGCAGTGCCTGATAGAAAGAAGTGGAATGGTAGTTTTTAAGAGTCATTGGAGCTCCAAGAGCCTACAGAGACAGGTGTGTTTGTGTGGTGGTACAGGTGTGTCACCCCCAGTAGACTTGAAAAGGTACTGTGGCTGTACAAAGTTTGTTTGGTCCATGACATATTTTTGGTTTTGAGTGTGTTCTTTTATCAATGTTTTGATAATTATTTGGTTGAAAGCACTAATGCCATTGTTTTATAACTGAGACGTCTTTATTCTCTTCTTATGCTCCATATACTCAACCATCTGTTATTATTATTCAGTTGCACTAGTTACAGTATGTGCAGTTTTAGTGGCTGACCACATGGAGTCAGTCTCTGCTCTTCAAATGCAATGTCAAGAAAGTTGTAACAGAGCTATGCTGTTTGATAGCTACACATCTTTTTATTTTATTGATCTGTCTCATTTTTCTGAAGAGGTTGTTCAGGTTAATTTGTCATTAAAGTTGTTTATATATATAACATGCACATCTTCTACACTCTTCAACCTCCTACACTACAATTTTCTTTAATTTAGTTTTTTCATATCTGTTTTTTTATACTTTCCTGCCTTTTAAAATCTTTTATATCTAATTTCTTCTACTTTCCTAATTTCTTAGGTGATGCAGGCTGATGCTCTGGTCCTGTTAGGGGCAGGGACCACAGATGTCCCATCCAGCTGGGTTAAACCAGGAGCTGCTGTCATCCGCTGTGAGCCTTCGCTGGAGACAGGTATTGTTAAATATACTGTGATAGTCATCACAATCACTCTCCACACGCTTCAGTTGTATTGAAAAAGGAATGACACAACATTTCATTCAATGAGGTTTTTAGCTGACTAACAAAGACCAGTGATGCATGTTTCTACTCAACATGTGGATTAATCATACTATGTTTTGTTTTAGATGCCATTGAGATGTTCTCAAAGTCTGGGTTAGGATACCTCACAGCAGCTTATAGAACACAGGTCTGTCTCTTTGTTTCTGCCTCTGTTCTCGCCTCATTGGTTTGCTCTGTTCTGTCTTCAATGTTTTTTTTTTACCTTGTTCTCTCCGTCCCTCCTTTTTGTCTACTAGAATGTGGTGCATAGTTGTAGTCGGTGGTTCCAGGAGCAGCAGTACCGACCCTGGCATCTGCGCAGCCTCAAACTGCAGCCCCTGACCCCTGTACCAAGGTATAGACCACTGTCTGTGTTGTGTTTAACTACATCTACCCAGACATAGGATCTGTTTCTCATGTCATACCGTTCTCTAAATCGCACCTGCACCACACTTGAATGTTTTACGATTATGGGAGTGTGGTTTGTAACAGACATTGTCTGTCACATATCTGACGCTTTAAAATTAAATCTGAATGCTGAAAGTCATGTTTTTCTGTTTTCATTAGTGACATAGAGATTTCCAGAGCTCAGACACCTAAGCCAGTGGACCAGCTGGCTGCAGAGATTGGTGTGTTGCCAGAAGAGCTTGAAGCCTATGGCAGGAGCAAAGCTAAGGTCCAACTCTCCCTGTTAGACCGCCTCCACACACAGCCTGATGGGAAATATGTACTGGTTGCTGGGTGAGTGTGAATTACCAGTTGCCGGAATCCTTTTTCTTCTTAATTGTCATATTCATTCAGTGCTCCCTAGTGCCCCTATGTGACATAAAACCAAAAAAAAGGGCTAAGCAGTCACTCTATCCCAGCTTCCTTTATGGTATTAGCTTAAAGAGATATGTTGGACACAGTTTATGGTTTATTTCTGAATATTAATTTGCAATTATATGTTGTTTGAGCCAGTCTTATTCTGCACACCAAAAGATACTAAAAATGTATTGTCTTTTTCTGTGTGTGTCTAGTATAACTCCTACCCCACTGGGTGAAGGTAAAAGCACGGTGACCATCGGCCTCGTCCAGGCCCTGTCTGCCCACCTTAAGCTCAACTCTTTCGCCTGTCTCCGACAGCCTTCCCAGGGACCCACATTTGGGGTTAAAGGTCAGCAATGAATACTTCCTCCTTGTGCAGAATTGTAACTTGCATATCTTGTCTGAAAAGTATGCTTTGACCTCCCTGTGCTCTTTTGGAGATATTCAAAACTCTAAAACTCTATTTTGTAAGAAAACTATTACAATGGATAACAGTTTCAGTTACATTCTTGAAGGAGATGTGTTTTCACGATCGAAAAGATGTCAAACTGTTTCAAATGGTGCGTGTTATTTTGGAATAAACCTCTTGTTTCTTTTTCCAATTGAATACATTGAGTGGAATTTGGACGTGGCCAGAGACAGGCGCCCAAACCAGCAGTTAGGAATGTATCAAGTAACTGCGTGATAAGCTATCTTTACCAGCGTGAGGCTAGCATTTCATACCCTGCTACATTTTGTGCAGGGGTGGGGTAGTTCACTCAGAGTCCACTCAGCATTCCTCCTTTGTGTGTCCCTGTCCTGTTTGTCTGCCTCTGACTGTGCTACCTCTTCTTTGTGCCTAGGGGGAGCTGCAGGAGGGGGATATGCCCAGGTCATCCCTATGGAGGAGGTAAGACACACAGACACTTTCAGTGCTCCCTAGCAGGACTAGTGCAGTCTTCAAAGAACTAAACACATGCAGAGACTCACACTAGTTTGCATGAAAAAATAACAATGCACACACACACACACACGCAACCCCTGGAGCTGTGCCATAATATTGCCTGTGACTAAAGGCACTGTTTGTAAAGGCAGGGAGGGAGGGGGGAGAGGGAAGGAGACTTGAGGTTTTGAAGCTTCGACACATAGCCTTTAATGAGACAGCCTCCTTTTCTCAAACCAAAACACCGGCTGTTTTCAGCCTTTTCTTCTTCTTCTCACTTCACCACAATGTTTTATTTCCTTTAAATAGAAGGGCTCATGCCAAAAAGAGAGTATATGTGTCGTAACATTTTTAAAGACCTAGGGGACATGAGACGATGACTTTGTTAGAGATTTTATTTCCACTGGGGCCATCCAAACCAGCAGTGTGTACACCAACATTACAGTAATGATGCTTTTATTTCTTTTGTCTAATCCCTTCACCTCTTTCTTTCTTTCTGTTTGTTCTTCCTCTTTCAGTTCAACCTCCATCTGACTGGTGACATTCATGCCATCACAGCTGCCAATAACCTGGTGGCAGCAGCCATCGATGCCAGGATGCTCCATGAGGCGACGCAATCAGACAAGGTGACCGTGTCTTGATGTCACTCAGTAATAACTTATTCTTACTCCACCAAAAAGAGGAAGTTGTTGTTTTGGATGGTACTATAATGACAAATCTGATTTAGCAGAAAATTCCCATTTTGATTTGCTGTTTAGATTAATTATTCTCAGTGATTTATTCTGTATTGTGTTAATTATTATCACTAGTGACTTTCTTATGTGATTATTCTAGATATTAATTGCATAAATATAAATTACAACAGACAACGGTATATGATTAGTTATATAGTCCTGTTTTTGGTTCACCACACGTGAACAATCTAACACTTAATATTCACTGGGAAACCTAATTTGCACCTTAATCTATGTAAGAGCATGCCTTTTATGTCCCAATTACATTTACCAGTCACAACCATGACATCACTCTGCAGATCTTTTTGTGTGATTGTCTATTCGGTGTGATCTATTCAAGAAAAGAAAAAGTAATTGCCCTCCAAGGTGCAATTAAATGTACTTTATATGCATGATATGCACACATATATTTAATGTAATTGTTTTGTCTTCTACCCGATAGGCCCTTTTCAATAGATTGGTCCCTTCAGTGAATGGAGTCAGAAGATTTTCACCCATCCAGATCTCCAGGCTAAACGTAAGTCTAAACACTGCAGTGCCAGAATCACCGTGTCAACAATCATTAGGAGCCAAAAGAATTGGTATATAAAAAATGCCTTTGTCCACTAGGGGGCCTCAGTAAGCCTACCTTAAAATGATTCTCCTTCCCTCCACTATGTCCTCAATATTTGTGTATACCTCATGAAGCTCCTATGTGTTTATATGTCTGCGAGTAATGCTGTTTTATGTTGTGTTGATGAGGAATGCCTAATAAAGTCCAAACAGATAAGATGATGTTGTAGAGATAGGATGGCGAAGTCTGAACATAAGTCAACTCAATGTTTGTCTGTCCTGTTGTATGAAGGTAGCTGGGATGAGAAGTTAAAAGGACTATAAAATATTTATTGGTCTTGATGGATAGAGTGAGAGTTGTGTGTGTGTGTGTGTGTGTGTGTGTGGTTGTTTTTTTTTTTTTAAACAGAGCACTACAGTGAACCTTTTAAACCTGACAGTGAGTTGATGGCCTCTTAGTCATTTATTATAGATTCATTTTTAAATGCCGAGATGGTAATGTGTCCAGCTGGTGAGGACATAGCAAGAAAAAATCCACTACTAAAATAGAATATATAAATTAGTCAGATTATCATAAAATATCTAATGATAATAGCTGTAGTGCCACAGCTGGGACTGAAATGTGGACACATGTGGACCTAAAGCAGAACTTCTCCAGAAACGCGTACGGATGGTCCTCTAATCCACTGTTTCTGCCTTTCCTGTAATATTTTTGTTTGAATATCAGCCTGCTACGTAGTCACTTTCATACACGTAGTGCACACATACTTCCATGTTTAGTTATACCTTCCTCTGTATGAGAGCTGTGTTGAAGAGTCAACGATGTATAATCTTCTGACTAGGAATAAACCTGTCTTGTGCGTCCACTGTTTGTAGCTCAATAGGGAAGGCCCTGGCTACTGTATCTAAATGTTGGTCATTATGGCACTCAGTGTAAAAGGTTTGAGAAACACTGCTCTAATATTCTGTCTCTCTTCGATTCCAGCGTCTAGGGATCAATAAAACAGACCCAGCATCTCTCACACCCCAGGAAGTCAGCACCTTTGTCCGTCTTGACCTTGACCCTTCCAAGATCACCTGGCAGAGAGGTATTTATAGAATTATAGCAATTCACTTTGTATATTTTTTTCTGGTTGCAACTTTCTAACACTGAAGGGTAATACCACTGAAATTCAGCCTTTTATTGTAGATTTTTCCCCGTAGACCAAACTAAAGAAGGACGACGTGTATGTATGAAATATTCAGCTGGATTTGAACTGCTTCTTGATCCAATCGGTTGTCATTCTTTGCTTCTTCACATAAAACCTAACCTGACTGCACCAGAGGGTTTGTCACACAGAACCATCTAGGAAATTGTTGCTGGAAACTGTTTGGAAAAGCTTTCAAAAAATATTCGGCAGGTGATTGGAAGAACCATCACCGTCTATCACAGATTTAACCAATCAGATCAACGGACTATATAATGTAGTCGAACTCTTACTGAAGTCAGCAAAAACATCTTTTCCATCAATAAAAGTCTTCAGTGCCGTTCTTTCCTATTCTTTGGATTAAGAAGTGCTCTCCAGTTCTGATATAACTCTTATAAGTCTAGCAGCATCTACGCTAACCTTTATCCATCCACCCTCATCACTGCCAGTACTTCCTCATAGGATGTTGATTGGTCCACGTAGTTTGGCCACAAACGCATAGACTGAAGCTTCATCTGCAACTTTACACATATTTAAACTACAGCAAAAACCTTTTACCTTGTCGTTGCTGGTACACAGTAACAGTATTATCCACATAACAGGCAGCGTGATGCATTATTTACTAAAATACTAATGTTAGAGATATTTTAAGTGGAACAATGATATGAAATTTTCTGTTTGATTTCATATCTCATAATGACACAAAATAATTTCCCTTGAGAATTAAATGGAAATGCTTGTTACACAACACCCAGTAGGATTTTTTGCTCAGAGACATATACATGATCAAAGTCAATACCATGACTATCACACAAATCTAATTTATAAGAGAAAAGTTTTGACAAACATCCCATGATCCAAAAACCATTTTTATGGTGCCACGACTAAAGAATGTCACATGCAATCTTAAATTAAACTGGATTTCCTAATTCCAAAATAAGTCTTCACTGCAATATGTTGGTATTCTCCTCAGTGAAGTTTAGCTAAACGACTATTTCTGGCCCTTGTATTTATATTGAATTAACGCATCCAGTGTAAAAGTATTGCAGTTGTGAGTCACAGGATAATAAATGTGGGTATGTTAGGAGTGGGAACAGTTACCTCCGTGGTGGATGTGTTGGTTTAAAGTTGTCAGTGAGAACGACCAGCCGGGTGCTGCTATGACTGATGTGGTATTTACTCCAGTGGCTCCAGAGGGCATTCTTAAAAGCCGAACCCTGGAGATTAAAAACACATTTACCACCTAATGTTACATGGGTGTGACCGTGTGTCTCTGCTCATGACACAAACCATGTTTTTATGGCTTTCCCCTTCAGACCAACACAAGGATAATGTTTGACTAGCATGGTTTCCCGTATAACCACAGAGTAACCCATTTCTAGCCACATTATCAGAGAATAGGCTAAGTGCTGAGTGAATAAACTTTAAGTAGTAAATCCCTCGTAGCATAAGCACTTTCAGTGTGTCGGCACCTACTCACAACAAGAGATAAGAATCTCTCTTCTTGGTTTTTCTTATGTGTGCGAGCCTGCGGGTGCACATTTGCGTCTTGTGTCTATTTAACAACGTGTGAAAATGGATTTTTACAGTCAGTCAGGTTCAGGCCATAAAGCCATAAACCTTTTCTGTGTCTGAGGTATCAGATTGTTGTATTTTTACTACTATACTTAATGGGGTTTGCCTGTCATTAATAACATAGCGCCAGCTGCCATGCTCAAAGTTTTTGTCTTTGTTTTTCAGTTGTTGACACAAATGACCGTTTCTTGAGGAAGATCACAGTTGGACAGGCAAGCACGGAAAAAGGCATGATAAGAGAGGTATGCAGCATTCATGCCTTCACAATCTTGATTCTTCTGAATGTATGACGTTCTTTTTAAAATGTTTTTTCACCCACCTGCTAGGTGTACAATAACCAGAATATGAATACTTCTGCAGTATCAGTTTAGGAATGAGTATTTTACATTCCTATTCATTGCAAATATTTTCTCATTCACTCAGTTTGACAAACACTGATATTACTGCAGGGTTTCCATTGCAAAGACTTTACTGGTGGGGGGCATTAACATTTATCTGATCTTACTACTGTTATTATTACGGTGGCTTGAGATGCCTGCATATTTAGGTACTTGTACAATACAACTTTCCCATGCACACATGCAGACACACTCCGCTTCATCCCCTCTTCCTTCCATGATAAAGCCCAGATGTATCTCACCCATATGTCTGTAGTAATGACAGCTGAACGAAATCCTGTAAATAAACACTTCACCTCAATGGGAAGCAAGCAGGGCTAAGTGAAAGCAAATGTTTAAAGAAGGAGAAAAATGACCC